AGCGGTGCCCATCTTCTATATAATAGTCCAATAAACAGATTAAAAGAATTAGGTTGTGTGCCTTTCTCTGTCTGGGAGGTTCAGAATCTCCTCTCCTACATCTCTGAATGCACCCAATCCTACACAGACCTCTGCACAGCACAGAAGGCTGGAAAGGCCTTCTCTTGGCAGAACCGTGCAGTAGTGCACAGTTACATCCTGGCTGAATGAGACAGACTGAAATGGGGTAAACAGAGACAATGAACAGGAGTTCTGTGAAATATGCCTATCATTTTTAAATACTTTCATTCCTATAAATGAAAATGCAGCTTAGCATAGCTGTACAAGGATCAGCTGTAAAACTACAAACTCAAAGGACCTGAACTTTGTTAACAGCAACTTATTAGGTTGTGACAGTACTAACAAAAATGTGAGGTTCTTGATGATAACACAGTGAATAAGCTGGAGAATTCTGAACAAGTCTTGCCAATAATCAAGTATTTTAGAAACAAAGGAATCACAGAAAAAAAAAATGAAAATGTAAATAAAATATATACATAGCATAATGCTATAATGCAATTGAAAGCACAGCAATAGCAGCAAAAGCCAAAGGCTGCAGCAAACGAGGATACGCTCAGTGCAGCAGCCACAGACACAGAAACAAAGGAAAAAAAGCTGCTTACCCTTGGAAGGCCTCAGGTAGGCAGGGCTCTCCAATGAGATACCCTTGCCTCCCCTGCCAACCCTTCAATGAGGTCTGGGAAGGGGCAAATCCTGTCTCCACTCCTTCTGATCACCCAGGTGCATTGCTTGCACCTGAGCTCCCTTGGGTTGGCCCTGCCTTCCCACCAGGTGCTCAATCACTGATTCAAGCTGTGATTTAGCATTTCTGCTACACATATATATTAAATTTTTCTGTACCAGTGTCCCCAAAAAAAGCCATCAACATTTTTCTTAAATCTGAAAAGCAGTATTTGAATAAGTGTTAGTAACAAAAGTAACATTTCAATAATTAGAAAATTTAACTTTACCTTGAGACTCTTCAAATAGTTGGACAACATGCTTGGGTGAAAACGATTTTCTTCAGCAACCTGATCATCGTATCTTGGTCCTAACATTGTCTTCAAAGGTAAAAACTTCCCTATGAAACACAAATTTGGCAGTATTGTATGCATACTGATGTATACGTGCACTTGCAACTTAGTGATTTCAAAGCAATACACCAAGTAGTTTTATAGGTTCTTCTACAAAGAAAAGTAACTGCAGGTAAAGTATCAACAAGTAACTGGAAACTCTTCTTAGCTCTGAGTTTGCAGAATGCCCCACATGTAAGTCAAGAGGGAAACAGACCAGATCATCAAGAAGCAGTACTCTCCATGTTTCAGCTACTTTTTAGCATGGGCCAGGCCGCAGAGCTACAGCACACAACATTTACATTCAGTACAGTAGAAAACACAAAAAGCCAATCTGAAAGGTCAATTTGCCACCCAACATGCCTGGCCCAGAGGAGCTGTTGGGGCCCTGAGGAGGAATGCAGTCATCCCTCCAAAGCACAAGGTCTGTGTGCAGCTCAGACGTGTTTGTGACAGAACTGTGACAAAAACTTGAGGGGAATTAGCTCTTAGTCCATCAGTCACTAAGAACCCAAAGTTTTTCAGTATTGCTTTTATCTTTCCATCCATCCTACCTATCACAGAACACCTGAAATAACCTGCTGGGATGCCTGGTGCTTCCTGCCCAGCTCCAGAGAGCTGCAGACAGATCCCTTCCCCAAACAAAAGTACGTGGAATGAAAACAGTGATAGAGTCATTGCATTCAGACGGAAATCAGCTTCTGGGACAGAAGTTCATTAATCTTCATCAAATTGTAAAAATGCACACCAATCTCACTAAAAGAACATGCAAGTGATCGCTGAGAGCTCTTTAAACAATAAAATTCATACCATTCTCTGTAGCCTCAAATTGTAACAAAACATCCTGCGTAGTTTCAAATAAGCATTTGACTTTTAGGAAAGAGCCACTGAAAAAAAAGCAAAGATGGAGAGGAAACTGAGAGAAGCTTTGTGTGATTTGCTGGTCAGAATTGTGCAAGAACTGGCAACATGAGGAGTATCCTACTGTTAACTTGTCTGAGAAAAGTCATTCAGTCACACAGTGAGCATAATACACCTCACATGGCATTAAGTCCCTAGCCACTTCAACTCACTTGGCTGGCAGAAACACTCTTCACATTAACCTACTTCCTTCTGCCTTTCCATTCCATCCCTCTTAGCCACAGTGTGAGGGTTGGCTGCCCTCCTTCATTTCCTCATGGTTTGACCTACCTGCCTTAATTCTGTTGGTTTGTTGCGTCTCCTGTCACTTTCAGCATTCCTATTCAGCTTCTCACACTGTTAACCCTTCCTTGCACAGGAACTCATCGCTTATACTGTTCAGACTGACTCTCCACATCCTGACTGTGGATGATCTTAATGCAGAAATCTTTGCTGTGAATCCAACAAAACATCAAGCATGCTTGGAACTGTTCTAATTCACTTCACTACTCCTCACTGCCATCCAAACACACGCATTCACTCTGTGGAAATGCTGAGTATTTTAACAGGCTCCATTTAATACTATTTGGGAACATACTGAAACCCTGATCCTTGGAACCATTTAGATGACCAACTTCTACAAACTGAAGTTTGCCATCACCGTGCAGAAACAGAACTTGCATGGCAGCAATCAAGTTGTCTGCCAGCATTAGAAGACAGCAGGGAATTCAAGTAAGTGCATTCCAAGTCGGGGAAAATTTCCGATCAGGATATGAAAGCAATGGCTTTAGAAGTTGTTTGTGTTTTTGTTTTTTTTTAAACAGATGTTTTTAATAATATCTGACAACTCTGCATGCAATGTGCAAGACTAGAAGAAGATTAACTAATATGAACCAACAGCAGACTGAAGGACATTGCAGAAACACTTCTCATGTATTTTCCTCAGTATCTTGCTAAAGATTCTCTATAGCAAAAACAAATAGATGTGATTTCAGGGAGTTATAAAGGGTAGGTACTTGCAGAGACAGAAATGCCAAGGCAGCAAGGCTGAAGCAATCTGGTAACTTCAGTTCCAAGCGTTCAGAGAAAGCTCTTTTTGTTAAATGTGTCACTGAGCTGCTACCACAATGCAGTACAACATGAAAACACTGCATAAAACCAGTGGCAGCACACTACGACTTAAAGAATGACAGTCCTGTTAGCCTGAATGAACTCAACCTCACAAGGAGCTCCAGACCTCCCTGGTTCTTGTATTTGAGGTCACTTAGAAATGCTACTAGCAAAAGAGGGACACAACCAAACACGTGATGCCTGTTAGCTCACAGAAACCATGCAAACCTTGCTGAGTGACAGCATGACTGACACACTATTAGAAGGGAATGAAGCCACGCACAGAAGCATACAAATTTGTTTGAAAAGCTGATCCAAAATGGAATATAAAGCATCTGGGAGACAGCAGCAACAGCAGGGAAGTCTAAACATTACATCTCACTAAAATAGTTAGATGGTTTGAATGCAGAAAAACAAATAAGAAGGTAAGACTGATGGTTCCTCATGATTTCTGGTAACTGTACACATGTACAAAATCCCTAAAAATTAAGTGAACCAACATAATAAAGCATTGTGATAATGCAGCCAAAGAAACGAACCAAGCACTTTCTTCTTGTTTTTATGCATTATCTTCTTGTGTCTGAGCACACAGAGCAAAACAGCCACCTTGCAGTTCCTGAACCAGCACAGACCATGCATTCAGTGCTCAGCAGATGACAAGCTGATGAACTACATTCGTGCTTACTCTGTTCATTTTTTTTAGCAGCCCTGGCTTAAAAAAAAAAATCAACGATTTCCAGAGATTAAGAACTTGCTGAGAAAAAAAAAACAAAGAATAAAAATTCATGGGGCTATTTTTGTTGTGGCCAAAGGCTGACAACCTACGCTATCAAATTTCTAATAGATACAAAGCAAAATATTTGGCACTGATCAGAAAAGAGATAAGGGAGATAAGCAATATGATAATTAACTGCTTAATTAAGTTAAGCTCACGGAAGTACAAAGAACTTTGAGGGAAAACAGTAACCCACATGATGAGTAGCTGAAATGATGCACTGAAACGCATACTGCTGGGAAAACTGAGGCTCCTGAGATGTCTGAGGAAGCTCTAAATAAGTTTGTAAGAAACCATCCACGTCTGCAGCCCCACAACCAATGGCAGGCACAGAAGTGTAAGGAGATGAGGAAGAAATGTGGCACAGAGAAGGCAGGCACCTAACTACTGCCTGGCTCACACAGAGCAGCGAACATCATGATGCAGACAAGTACCTCGAAATTATCACAGATAGGGAGATGGATGAGTGAAAACTGGAAGGTATTGTGGAAAAAAAATAAGGGCTTTCTGATTGCTTACCTGATAAAGGTAGCAAGCGTGAGCAAACAGCTTGTTTGCTCTATTTCATGCTAGGGGGGCATTCATCTCAAAGCACTGCGGCAGTTGAGTTACCAACCCAAAAGCGTTTCTGTGACACCCACCCTGCGCCCCACGGGTGCGCATAAATCGGACCAGCACTGCCGGCAGCGCCTCGGGTCGCACACGGAGCTGCGGCCGTGCGCGGCGCCCAGCTCGGGAGCGCTGCCCGGGAGGAGACGGGAGGCACGCGGGCCCCGCCGGACCCGGGACGGGCCGTCGGCGCCCCGAGCCGCCCCGTTCCCTCCAGCCGTGACGCGAGGCAGAAGTTCCAGCCCCGAACTTCGTCGAGGAGAGGAAGCGCAGCGCTGAGTGCTCCGGGAGGCCCGGCAGGGAGCGGGCGTCACCGGGCCCCGCTGCTCCCTTCTCCGCCGACGCCGGGTCTCCGCCCGGGACTCCTCGCGGCCCACGCGGTGCCGCGGTCCCGGGACAAAGCACCCGGCGGAGCCGGAGAACGGAGGGCAGGTGGGCCGGGGGGGACGGAAGGGACCGGGCACGGCGGGGGCCGCCGCCGCCACGAAGCCGCGCCGGGGCCGGGCCGGGCGCTCACCTGCCACGGGCTGTCCCCTCCTGGGGCAGTGGAGCCAGCGCGGCGGGATCTTGTTGTAAGACATGGCCGGGCCCGGGGCGAGGGCGGAGGGGGAGGAAGGGAGGGAGGAAGGGGCAAGCGGGAGCGGCCCCTCGGCGCTCAGAGGCGCCCGCGGCCCCGGGCCCGCGGCGCCTTCATTCAGACCCAGCTCCGCCTCGGCCGCCGGCCCGCAGTGCTCCGCGGCCGCTTCCGCTTCCGGGTGCGCGCTGCCGGCGCCGCCATGCTGGGTCCGCCGGGCACTTGGGAGCTGGGGCGGCGAGCGGGGCCGGCCCGAATGGGGCCCGAAGCGGTTAATGACGGCCAGTCCGCGGCAGCCGTGAGACTGAGGGGGTGTGAAGCGCCCTCCTCCCCAAGCCGTCTCGTGGTCCTGCGGTTCTACGGACACCTCGTCTCTTATTTTCCCCAGCTGCTCGGAGCAGCGCCATAGAACGCGGCGCTCCGGGCGCGGGTCTGGCAGCAGCCGACCGCCAGGGGGCGCCAGAGGCTGCCGAACAGAAAGTGAAACCGGGAGCGGGGTCCCGGCTGGCGCCTGCAGGCGGGGAGGGGCGCGGGCGGTGTGAGGGGCGTCCGTGGGCTGCTCCGAAAGTAATGCCTCCCGTTTATTTCCACAGGGATTGCAACAGCTACGAAGAGCACAATAATATTGTTCGATAGACCAAATTCGCAGCTACAAAACGCTTTTTCAACATAGTCACCGCAGTTTTGCAAGCAATGAACAAGATTCTGCACGCTGTGCTCGTAAACAAGTGCACCAGCAGGGATGGCCCTGTGTCACTGCTGTCACTGCTGAAACGCGGCATCCACTGCCTCACTGCGCTCACACCCAGCCTTTGGTCTCCATAATCGTTCAGCAAGCGTCTCCCAGGTTTCAGAAGTGAACATGCTGTAAACATGACATTAAGAGATGGTACATAAAAAAAGGAATATGGAAACAGAGAATAAACCTTTTTGCTCTTATCAGTGTTCAGTGTATTCCATTGGGAATTTTACATGGAAAAAAATGAAGCGCACAGTATTGTCTAGCAAAGAGTATTCACGCTTTGGAGAATCACAGAATTGCTCAGGTTGGAAAAGACCTTAAAGATCATTGAGTCCACCCACAACCTAACCATACTACCCTAACTCTATCAACCCTCAGCTAAATCACGTCCCTGAGCACCACATCCAAACAGTTTTTAAGCACATCCAGGGATGGGGAACCAACCACCTCCCTGGGGAGCCTTAATAAGCCTTTCTGTAAAGAAGTGTTTCCTGATATCCAACTTAAACTTACCCTGGTGCAACTTGAGGCCATTTTCCTGCATTCTGTCACCACTGTGAATAGATCAACACCACTCTCACTGTAAGCACCTTTCAGATATTTGAAGAGAATGATAAGGTCTCCCCTCACCCTCCTTTTCCCCAGACTAAACGGCCACAGTACCTTCAGTCACTCCTCTGCACTGCCAGTCTACTGCACTGACCCCTCCCAGAAACAGCCCACATGTCAAGTGCTTCCTCTTACATTTGCTGTGGTTCTGCCTGTGTTGCTTTCAGGTCTGGAACAGCTGGCAGCTTACACCTCATGGATGGACCTATCTGCATGTTCTGCATATGTAGTTCACACTGAGCTTTGCCATGTTAGACACTCCAAACGAATTTACAGGCGTAGGATGACAGTTCTTGTGTTACATCTTAGCGAACAAGCACTTTTCTGTTTGGCTTTATGCTTAAGATTACTTCTCCTGTTGTACCAGCAGAGAGCATCCAGTTCCCATATTCTTAACATGCCTGTTAGAAGTGTGCATTTGCTGTTTGAACAAGAAAAACACAGGTGCACGGTGTAGTGGTTGTGCAATGCTTTGAGAAAACAACGGCAAATATTTTCATAGTCCATGGTATAGAATTCCCTCTTCTCTTCCCTGTATGCTGCTTCTCTTTTACTTCCATGCATTCAAACTCCTGAACCCTGGTTTCTGTTTGCCAATTATAATCCTTCTCTCAGAGGAAACACGACAATCAGTAAGTTATTTTCCCAGGATAAGGTTCATTCCTTCTATCACAGATTTGTTGGCTTCTCTGATTTCAGTCCATCTGCAATGTTTCTGGTAGCGGAGAGCTGTATTTGTGTTCTACTTTGACTCGAAAAAAGAAAAAAAACAACATATGAACATGAAAAAAAATGAGAAAAACACAATTTATACCTTTTTTCCTCATTACAGACTGAACATTTATTCAAACTACTGCTGGTGAAAAACCTCACACTTTTCATTTTATTAATATTAACTTTTATTAGTTGCATATAGTATACTAATAATGACTTTTATTACTATTGTAACAAACTAGTTCATTTAGGTATGCTAGCAGTGACATATGTTCAAGGCAAAGGAAACCAACCAGCTGTTATGCCTTAATAAAGATTATGAGGTTCTATACTGATGTGTCAACAACCCTACGCTCAGGAGGCATGAAGCTTTTGCGGGGGAAAGAGGAAGGGGAGTGCTGTTTAAATATGAATAAGCACTACAACTTCTTTGATACTGTAGTTGTACCTTATTCCAATAGTGCTTAGATTCTAACAGCATCAGAAACAACAATAATAATAGTAATAATAATAATAATATAATCCAGTACCTTGAAAACATATTTAACATTATGGTCACTTATGCTAATTAGAGAACCTAAACATGCAGACATTTAAACATGCTGAGCATTCACCAGCTCTTCCATAAGCGAAAAGAAAGTGCTAATGGCTTAACAGTTTTTAAACCATGTCCACCTGTTTGGTGTCAGGAAATAACTAAGAAACTGACTTCTTAGATAAATCAATTATTCTTCTATGTTTGACAATGAAAATAAGACTTTGAAGGAACTATTTTAATGCTTGTGCATATAAAATAACAAAAAGGGATGTTCAAACTATGTTCCACGTTCTCCAATATATTGGAGAAAATGTCATTTACAGTGTTCTTCCAGCAGAGAGCTTTGAGAGTTCAGCAGCAAAATACCGATCTGTAATCTTCCAAACATTAGGGGGCACCATAGCCTCACAGACTTAACATGATGTAAGCTAAAGTACAGTTATTTTCCTATCCAAAGTAAACAGGAAACAGCATGAAGCCAGCCAAATCAGCTCCTGAAGTTGTTCCATAATGCAAGACTATGATACAGTTCCTAACACAAATTCCAGCAGAAGACAAGCCAGATATCTAGTACACCCTCCTTTTCATAGCGGTAATAAAACCCACGGATTAATGGATGCAATAAAAGCAACTTGCTTTCAAATCTTCACGTGAATCTTAAATTTCCTGTCAGGGTTTCATTCTGGGAAAATGTGTTTTTAGCACAAGCCTCTAAGGTATTACGGTGTTTGTAGAATAAAGCTCTGTATAGGCAGGAAGCAGGCAGTGAGTTTCAGATGGAGCTGCTTTAAATCCCAGTCCCTGAACTGGGTATCATGCTATAAAGGAATCAGAAAGCTGTGTGTCCGCAAACCTTCCTCACACCTACAGAGCGAGGAAAGTATCTGGCTGCTGTTATTGAAGGACAACGGGTGTGACTGCACACACCGACTTGCCTTCCTCTTGTTCCTCTGCAACTGAATTCTTCTGCAACTGAACTGATAGAGGGCTTGATGCGATGGAGGTAAGCATCTGGGCAGCAGGATCATGAGCAAAACAACACAAATTCCCAGTGGGCTGACACCCACCTCCTCAGTGTTCTTGCAGTTTGACCTCAACACTGGTGGCCTTGCATCAGATGTGAGGAACAATTTTCAGTGAAATCCTAAACCTTGAAAAGTATCCAGATGTAACATTCAAGAACATGCTATCTGTTGCATAAAGTGAAATCACACAACAGTGTGCTTTCAGTATGGATAGCCATGGAATTTTAGTCAATCAACTGGAATTCCGTGATGAGTAGCGGTAGGGAGAAGTGTGACGCAATACAGAGAAACAAACTAATTAAAGTAAGTGGAAAGCGTGACTCATAATCTTTGGAGCTGATCTGGTGAGATCACACAGTAAAACAGCACATCTGATGCTACGCTTTCTAGTTTCTGTGCTGAGGATGGGTACCTTCACAAAATCCTGCCCTGAGCAGAGGCTGTAGTTGAAACTGCATTGTGGAAATACAAGAAAAACTGAACTGCTGTTCAGAGCAGCAGCTGTGGAGCAAGATAAGCAGCATGAGAACCAAGGACACCTTTAGAAGAAGAAAGAACGTCTGGCAGCTCTGATTGGATAAGCGCCTGTGTGAACAGTTAAAGAGTGTTTTGTAGAATGCTTTGTTAACATGTATAAATAGAACAGTGCTTAACAATAAAGTAGACTAACAGCTTTTAACCACGTTGGTGTGCTGTTGTGTCTCCAGCACGTCCTGAGAGTACAGAGACTTCCCCACATTTGGTGCCCGAACAGGGATGGCGTGGGACGATTCAGGGAAGTGGACAACGGCAGGACACTTGCCACAGAGAGTTGGCACCAACACAAGTGTTTCCGTAGCTGGAAGCTGGCACCGAAGTAAGTGTTGTGATAGCTGGAAGCGGGGTCATGACCTGCCCTCTGTATCCACGATGGAATGGGAAGCTGTGGAGAAACTGCTGTTAAGTTTACTCTCTAAGAGAGGGGAGCAGTCATCTCCTAAAGGCATGACCGAGCTGGTGCACTGGGCTCAGAAGAAGGGACATTTGTTGAAAGTTGCGCTGATATTCAGCATTGACGAATGGCGGGATATCGGGGACCACATGTGGGACTCAGTCATCAATGGTGGAAAGGAAGAAAAGTTGTTGCGGACCCTTGGCCCCTTGTGGAGGTCTATTATTAATACTTTAAAAGCTGTGCAAGCCGAGTGACAGGTAACTGCTGCAGCTATACAGGCACTGGTCGGTACAACAACTAATTTGGCTTTGGAATTTGATGTGCCTGTTCAGGGTATCACACACCCTGTGTGTTCCTCGGCAGGTCAGATAAAAGCATTGGTAGAGGCAGCAGCCCCTGATCTCTCAAATGACACTGCTGCTGCACTGCTACTGAGTCATCTGCAGTATTGCAGCAAGGAAAAGGGGCTATACCTGACTTCACGCCTGATGGGCACTGCAAGGAGCAGTCTCCTGCAGAATCAGAGAGTGACGATGGGGGTGAGGGGCTGGAAAAACTGGATTGCAAGGTTAAAATATTAACAGAGCAATTACGTAGCCTGGAAATCTGTATGCAGCAAAAAAGGGATACAGGGCCTGACCGAGGTTCTCAACCAGTGCCTTCTACAGGTCCCATCCTACTGATAGCGCCTGTTGCTCCACTGACTCACCTGGCAGCTTTTCCCTCACGGTGGTCAGGGGTAATCCGTGATGCTTTATTGGAGGGGCAATGGGAAACGGCTTCTCGAATCGTGTGCCCAGTAGTATATAATCAGCAGGGTGCGCAACAAGAATCCCATGCTTGGAAACTGTTACAAGTGTGGAAAACAGTTACGGAGTACGGCCTTAAAGCCGAGGTATCTGAACAAATTATTCAATGGATTTTTACTGCTGATGTGAATATGCCAAACAACATAAAAAATTTGGGTAGATTGCTATTAAAACCATCAGAAAATTTGTTGTTTCTCCAAGAGTGGTCCAATAGAGCACACTGTGAGGCTGGAATAGCTCGGCAGCCTGCTGATTCGCTGTACGGCATTACAGCAGAAATGCTGACAGGGATAGGTCCTTATGCCTCCTCTGACACACAGGTTTCTTTTGCAGCAGCTTTTCACCACTTGTTGCCTAGACTGGCATTGGAGGCAATTTTTGCCGTTCCTGCTGGGAAAAAGGAACTGACTTTTGCCACTGTGCGCCAGGGGGTTACAGAACCATTTACTGGTTATGTGGGTCGAATGTGGTTAGCAATTCAGGATAGTGATTTGCCTGAAGAAACTAAACAGCAGCTATTTCGGGTTATGGTGCATGATAATGCCAATAACCATACTAAGGGTATATT